ACAAAATTTGTTAGATAGGAGATAACCCTCAAAGTCATAGAATTTGCCTTTATGCAATGACTTAAATTATACTCCTACAATCAAATACAATGGAAATTGCATAACACTGTTTTATAAAATAAACAGAGTTACATTAACCAGTCACAAACAAGTGTTCTAGTATTTCTCAGAAAAACCTCCTCTTGAGCCCCTGAACTTTTCTAACAATAAGTGCCCAACCCCTGAACTAAAAAAAGAGCGAATAAACCCTCAAACCCTATGATCGAAGCAAATTAGCCCCTTTGATAACAGACCTCTGTGATGCCATCTATTAATGACTTGCATGGCATTGCCTTTATGCATTGCATCCAACATGTCTTTAACTAAAGAAAGAATATTTGGAGATATCATTATTTAATCACTTAGAGCACTAATACCTCATTAATCGCTTAAGTAGTGTTTTTAACCTAAACCCCTCCTCACTCCTCGACCTTTATAAATTTCACTCTCTAACACTAGAACCCAAGAAACCAACCCAAACCCTCTCTTCATTAAAAAACCAATTAAGAAAAAAGAGACAAAATGCTCAATCTTTAGACATCCCTCTTCCTCTCCTGCCTCTGTTCTTCATCTATCAATGTAAGCAAATTCTTCTTTCTTCATTGTTTTCATGTATCAATTAATATTTAATTGTGGTTTCTTTCAATTGGTGATTAATGGGTTTTATTTTTATTTTTTATTTTTATACAATTCAAGTGGGGTTTGCCGACCTTGCAGAGTACTGTGACGATTTGCTGATTTATAAGAACCCATTCATATCAAAGGCGTCTTTAATTTGATATTGGAATAAGAAACTTAAGAGTGAGATACCAAATCCCACTTTGTTCTCTCTAAGCCATCCGCACCCAAAGCTATTGATGCTACAACGTACTCCAAACTCGCAGCATAGAATACCTTGTCTTCACACCTCCCCAACTTCTATTCGGTAGTGAAATTGTTTTGCTTCCATGATTTGGCCTTGAGTCTAAAGAAGTATTATGACTTTAGGTCCTTAAGAAACTAAAAGTATTCATATATTATAAGTTGAAGGATTAAAAATGTATATATTTGAACAAATTTAACGAACTAATTAATGGCAAGAAAAAAAAAAAAAAAAAAGAAGGTAAAATTTTCAAAATTAAGGGATAAAAAGTACAAAAAAAAAATTCTAGGATGAAATTTGTTCAAAAGTGAAAGTTGAGAGACTAAATTTGACATTTAACCTTATAGTTATAATGAATTAATTCCTTTGTGCTTCTTGATTAGCCAGTTGGCACTTGCTGAGTTTGAAGAGGCAGTAGCATGGTGCATCAATGTAGAAATCCTTTGTCTTGTTGATTCAATTCCTGTCTCTAGTGCTTCTAGTTGTACGGGAAATTGATAGACAAATTTGGGGAAACAGGAGTTCCAACGGAAAAACAGTGCAAACATTTGCTTAAAATAGTACGGGCTGGTGCATTAACGTAGAAATCCTCTGTCTTGTTGATTCAATTCCTGTCTCTAGTGCTTCTAGTTGTAGGGGAAATTGTTAGACAAATTTGGGGAAATAGGAGTTTCAACGGAAAAATAGTGCAAACATTTGCTTAAAATAGTTCGGGTTAGGCCTAGCTGCCAACCAACTTAGGGCTTGTTTGGTGTGGCTCCTAGTAGTTTCAGCTTCTGGACACTATTTATATCTCATGAATTTAAATTTTCCTTTTAAAATCTTATACTTTTAAATATTTTTTAACCTTAAAAAGCTCTTAAACAGTAAAAATTCAAAAGTTTCAAATCCA